ATCTCTTCAATGCAGGAGTGAAGAATCTTGGAAGGATAAGGGGCAAAGTTCTTGCGGGGACGTTCCGATGGCAAGGATCTCACTCTCCTTCTTCACTCAAGGAATTCAGAGTTGTCTGTTTCTGTGGCTCCCCTTTGCGAGAGGGCTCTGAAGTATTTCTAGTAGGCCTATCTGATTCTGGAACAGCTTTGTTCCCAAGGCCAGGGGTCTCCAATCTTGGCAACTTTACGACTTGTGGACTTCAACTCCCAGAATTCCTCATGGCGGAGGAATTCTGGGAGTTGAAGTCCGCAAGTCGTAAAGTTGCCAAGGTTGGAGACCCCTGGCCTAGGCCATCCACCTGGCAAACTCACAAGATTCGTTTCCCTCGCCATGTACGTGTATACACCTGAACTAGACTCCATTGTCTCTCTGTGTCATATAATAGATGTGGGTATGTGCATAATTTTGTATTTCTTTCTTTGGTCATGCTTATGTCGTGTATATTGGAGGTGGCAGCCCTCCAATGTATGAATTGGATTGGTCCAGTTTGATGAAAAGGAGCAGGGGTGACAGGGTAGCATTCTTCCAGTATTTGAGGGGCTGCCCCAAAGAAGAGGAGGGGGTCAAGCTATTCTCCAAAGCCCCTGAGGGCAGGACAAGAAGCAACGGGCGGAAACTGATCAAGGAGAGAAACAACCTGGAACTAAGGAGAAATTTGTTGACAGTGAGAACAATTAATCTGCAGGACAATTTGCCTCCAAAAGTTGTGAAAATTTTAAAGATTTTGGATAATCATTTGTCTGAAATGGTATAAGGTTTCCTGCCTAAGTAGGGGGTTGGACTAGAAGACCTCCAAGATCCCTTGCAACTCTATTCTATTCTGTTCGATTCTGTTCTATTTTCTATTCCATACTCCTATTCTATTCTTATTCTACTCTACTCTACTCTATTTTCTTTCTATTCTATTTTCATTCTATTCTATTCTATTCTGTTCCTATTCCTATCCCCCCAAAACCTCAAACCTCTTGGCTTCTTCCCAGCCATGACTGCTTTCAAATCGTTTGGTTTAGCCCAGTTTTCTTAAGCCTCGAAAGGCTGTGGGTTGCTGGGAAAGAGAACGGTGGACAACAGAGGGCTAAGCCAGTTAAAGCCTTAAAGCAGGGCTTTGCGTATAATCTCCCCCTTTGGAAGGATAGGCAGCTGCAACCTTAGCTGACCTTGGAGGGAACAAATACAGTCAGTCTTTGACCGCAACGGAGCCCAACATTTCAGTGGTTTGGTGAGACGTTTGTTAAGGGAGTTTCGCCCCACTTTACAACAGTTATTCCCACCGTTGTCCAGTGAATCCCTGCAAGCTGATAAGTTAGTAACCCGGTTGTGACGTGAATTGGGCTTTCTGCGTTGACTTTGCTTTGTTGGAAGGTCACAAAAGGGGACCATGTGATTCCCCAGGACACTGAGACCATCATAACTATGAGTCAGTTGCCAAACGTCTGAATTTTGATCCCGTGAGCATGTGGATGTTGCAATGGTCGTGTGAAGAAAAAAAAAACCTAGGTCCCTTTGTTCAATGCCGTTGTAATTTCAAACAGTCACTAAATGAACTGTTTTAAATCGAGGACTCCCTATACTTCGACTATTAATTTTGTCTCTCAACATTTGCACATTTTCAGACCTTTTGTCCTGGAATATCACTCATCTATACTCTCTATGTGTCATGACCAAGGATTCTTCCCGAGACCGTAATTAAGCACACACTGAGTTAAAACAACTCGTTTTATTGCAACGCTGGGATTTATGTTCATTCCCAGCTGGTAATGAGTCCCAAACAGTCCCTCGAGATAAGCACCCACCTTTCTCTCCTTTGAATGGCTGCCAACAACTAGAGTGCCAAATGAATTATAAAAAAAACCAACCGAAGTACAAAGTCCACACAGAGCTTCAAGGATTAATCCGAACAGAACAAACGACTTTGCTTCCTGCAAAGGTTTCATCACCTTGGCCTGTCCTTTAAGGTATTATGGGAGGGGCAATCACCTCCCAGCCTTACTCCCGAGTCTCCCCTTTTGTTTCAGCTGCTCTCGCCTTCTAGCAGCTCTGCACATACGCGCACTGGGAACAGGCTCCCCTGGATCCTCTGCCTCGCTGCTGTCAGATTTTGGAGGCTCCGGAGGAGCACCCCACTCCCAGAAGGCCCTGGCCCCATCTCTGTACTGGATGCAGAACCCTCATCCAAGTCCTCTCCAGACTCCCCGACTGGTCCCCGTTCTTCCCCACTGTCCGATTCCGCTGCCATCTGCATAGGCTGCCGGCGGACCACAACACTGTGTTCCCTGACAAGCATGCTGGGTAGGTATAGCTGTGTTCCATCCGTTGCCATTCAACGTTTTCAGGTTTGCTGCTGGGGAATAGCTTCATTAAGATACAGGAATCGCTTGGCATCCATTCCAGCTTTTCCTAGAACATGAAAAAATAGACATTCTTTGGGAAGTCAGAAATCAAATTGCAGAATTACTTCAGTAGAATTATTGATTTACAGGCAGAATGGTTAGTAGAGCCAGTTTGATCTAGCGGTTAAAGCACAAGGCTAGAAAGTGGGAGGGGGGGAGTTCTAGTCCTGCCTTAGGCATGAAAGCCAGGTGGGTGATCTTGCACCAATCGCTCCCCCCCCTCTCTCTCAGCTCAGCCCGTCTCCACAGGATCGCCGTTGTGAGAAAAACAGGAGGAAGGAAAGGGTGCTGGGTATCTTGAATTATTTTTTAAAAACAACCGACAAATAAAACAGAAATAAAAACTTGGTCTTGCATACGTGTTATAAAATCATATGCTTCGGGGCCCGTGTATTTCCTACTCAGGCTTCAAATTTGCACCTGTTAATCTATTTTGAAGTGTTCCTACCAAGTGCATCCCCCCACTTTTCAACTCCTGCTCCGAATGGTTGACATCCAGAGGACATAAATGTCTCCCAAATCAAAATATACTCTAGGCTCACACAGAGAATTGAAAATGCTCGTAGAACCGAGGTGCTGGCGCACTTGAAGGTTTATTTTCTTTTGTGTAAAATTTGCCACTGCAGCCAGTCACAAAAGAACCATTCGCTCAAAGGTAACCATTTCTCTTCTCTCTTTCTACCTTCAACCATTCCTTTCCATCCCACGCTTCCTTTCATCGCAAGGGCACTTTTTTGTCCAAATCTGTTGTTATATCCCAACAACCATTACTCACGAATTGCATTGCAAAAGAAAAAAGAAAAATGAGCTGTGGAAATTTCGTTTTGGAGTTTGGCTCCCGTGGGCGAAAGTGGTGGCTATTCCTGTTCAGTTTTTTTGAGCAAGCTAGCTTTTCATTCTAGATCTCTACCATGTAAAACATGGGTAGTCCTCAACATACGACCACAATTCAGCCCAAAATTTCTGGCGCTAAGTAAGACAGTTGTTAAGTGAGTTCCCCCCCCCCCATTTTATGACCTGTTTTGCCGCAAATATGAAGCGACTCGCCGCAGTTGTTAGCAACACAGTTGTGATGCGAATCTGGCTTTCTCCACTAACTTTGCTTGTCAGATGGTTGCATAAGAGGATCACATGATCCAGGGCACTGCAACAGTCATAAGTACATGCCAGTTGCCAAGCCTCCAACTTTTGATCACGTGACCATGCAACCATCGTGAGGATCACAAGTCCCTTTTTTTCCAGGTCGTTATAACTTTGAACGGTCATTAAACGAATAGTTGTTAAGTCCAGGATTACCTGTACCGCAAATTGTGTAATTTACTCCTTATTTGAGTTCACTCCCAACCTTTAGTGCCCAAGAAATATATAATTTAACTCCGCTGCCCTTTCTTTTTTACAATGCTTCCCTCCTCTACTGTGGATTTTAAAAGCCGATCTGGGACTTTTGAAAAATGAGTGTGATTAAGATGGTTTTATTTGTGCACTTGCTGGAAGTCCCTTGAATTTGTCTGCATCTTCTTTGGGGAGCTGCCATGAGAACAACAACAACGAAAAAGAACTGGTTGTCTAAATCACTAAAATGGCAAGCACAAATATGGGCAGCAGAAGCAACCAAATGAAAAAAAAATAAAAATAAAAGGGCAAGTACAAATGTTACCAGTGAGACCAAAACGCAGCTCAGGGATTTCTTTTATTTGACCGTAACCAAACAGAACACACCAGAAGTAACATCATTACTGGAAGAAATGACTATAAAATGTAACAATCAATGCTATGATAAGATAAAATAAAGGTCAAAGCAAGAAAGCAAACCAGAGAAATGCAACTAAAGTGGCAAATTCAGGCAGAGTTAATAAAACAGGAAGTGTATTGAGATAGCATTGTGCCAAAGCCATAAGAATTATAGGGAAGAAAAGAGAAGGGGGGGGGGAGGAAGAAAGAAGGAAGGAAGGAGAGAAGTGAAGAAGGAAGGAAAGACAGTAAGAAGAAAAAAGAAAAAGGAAAGGAGAGAAAGAAGAAAGAAAGAAGGTATGAAGGAAGTAAAGAGAGAAAGAAAAAGAAGGAAGGAAGGAAGAGGAGAGAAAGAAAGGAAGAAGGAAAAAGACAGAAAGAAGAAAAAAGAAAAAGAAGGGAAGATGAGAGTGGGAAAGAAAAAGACAGAAAGGAAAGAAAAAGAAAGGGAAGGAAGGAGTGAGAGACAAAGAAAAGAGGGTAAGAAGAGATAGAGGAGAGGGAAAGAGAAAGAAAATTAACAGCAAATAATTAAAGACGTTAATTTAAATGCAGCTTCCTCAGAAGGAGCCTTATTGTCTGTCTGTTAAGTATTGGCCTTGATTAAGGAGGAAGCAATGGTGAAGGAAATCAGCTAGATCAAAGGAATCAATCCCGCCATAAATGAAAATAAAACATTTTTTAAAAAATTCAGCCGGAGAACTTCAATGTTTCCCAAAGGCGAGGAGGAGCTGTCCCTTTCAGCACCCGCGCACTACATTTCCCGGCGGGCTCCGCGGTTGGGAGAGATTGTCTATCACAGAGAGCCCCAAACTCCGGTCCCCGAGCTTTTGCTCCCAGGCTGCTTTGCGACGGGCGGCCTTTCCTGCAAGAGGCGGACTCCATTTCCCGGCGCTCCCCGCGGCCTGAGGAGGAGGAGGAGGAGGAGGTGGGGAAGGAGCCGTTTTTTCCCCGCAAGATGGCGGACGGGGTGCTGAGCGCCGGCGTGAACCTGGAGGCCTTCGCGCAGGCCATAGCCGCCATCCAGGCGCTGCGCTCCAGCGTGACGCGGGTCTTCGACTGCCTCAAGGACGGCCGGCGGCACAAGGAGGCCGTGGAGGGCCGCGAGAAGGGCTTCCTCGCCAGCTTCCAGGAGAGCCTCCACTCCGTCAGCCGGGACTTGGGGTGAGGGCGGGGCAAAGCAGCGAGGGCGGGGCGGGCGGGGGAGGAGGCCACGCCCCTTCTCCTTTCCTTTGGCGCCGAGGGGCGTGGCCAAATAGGGTAATCCGGGAAGGGGGCGGGGCTTGGCCTGCCTCACCTGCTTGCTTGCTTGCCAGGTGGGGTGGGACCCGCTGGCCCATCATCCCTGTCCATAGAGCTGGGGCTTCCATGCTGCACAGCAGGGCAGGGCATGAGGGTCTTTATTTCGGGGTGGGAGGAGAGCAGGCTGGTCTGCCCTTGGTAGCGCCTTCCCATCCAGTCCTCGAACTTACGGCCACGATGGAAACCCAGCCAAGACAGTTGGCAAAGTGAGCTTTGGGCCTCATTTTACGGCCATCTGGCTTCCCCTTTGACATGGCTTGTCAGGAGGTCGGAAAAGGGAGAGCGCTGTGGCCGTCGTAAATATGAACTTGTTGCCAAGTGCCTGAATTTGGATCGCCTTGACCACCGGGAAGCCGCAAAGGTCGTAACTCTGAAAACCAACCTCAAAACGGTCACTAAACGAGCTGTTGTACGTCAAGGACTATACACAGGGCAACTGCCAAGCGTCCATATTTTGATTGTGCCACCCCAAGGACGCTCCAATGGTCCCAAGGGTGAAAAACACACCGCTTTTTTTTAAAGTGCCATTGTAACTTCGAATGGTCACTAAAGGAACAGTTGTAAGTCGAGGACTGGCTGTCTTGTGGTTCCCGGTTATATCTGTACGTGTGGTGATTCAAAAAGACTCCAAAACAAAGACCAAGTAGAAACACCTTGGTTTGAAAGGAGCCAAGCAGAACACTCCAGAAGTAACCATAATGACCGGAAAAAATAACCATAAAATGAAATAACAATAAAATGAAACATTATGATAAGGAAATAAAGAAAGCGGAAACAGAGAAAATGCAACTAAAGTAGCCAGTGCAGATGCAGCAAATAAAAGAGAGAAAACAGCTTGGAGGTAACATTGAGCCAAAACAATAAAAATTAAGAGGTATGAATGGAAGGTTGGATAGATGGACGGATGGATCCATCTATCTTCTATCCATCAACTTAGAAGAGAAGAGAGAATAGAATAGAATTAGAATAGAAAGGGAATGGAATAGAATAGTAGAATAAGGAATAGAAGAGAACAGAACAGAACATAGAATAGAATAGAGAATAGAATAGAATAGAATTCTTTATTGGCCAAGTGTGATTGGACACCCAAGGAGTTTGTCTTTGGTGCAAATGCTCTCAGTGTACATAAAGAAAAAATAAAATACATTCATCAAGAATCATAGGATGCAACACTTAGTGATAGTCATAGGATACTAAATAAGCAATCAAATCATACTAGGAAACAGATAAAACAATATATATCGTAAAGATACAAGCAACACGGTTATAGTGATAATTGGGAAGAGATAGGTACTAGGAAGGATGAGAAGAATAATAGTAATACAGTCTTACTAAGTAGTTTGACAGTGTTGTGGGGGTTGTTTAGCAGAGTGATGGTGTTTGGGGAAAAACTCCTTGTCTCTAGTTCTGGCGTGCAGGGCTCTATAGCGTTGTATTGAGGGAAGGAGTTGAAACAGTTTATCTCCAGGATGTGAGGGGTCTGTAGATATTTTCACAGCCCTCTTGTTGACTCGTGCAGCCTACAGGTCCTCCATGGAAGGCAGGTGGGTAGTCATTGTTTTTTCTGCAGTCCTAATTACCCATTGAAGTCTGTGTCTGTCTTGTTGGGTTGCAGAATTCCAACCAGACAGTTATAGAGGTGCAGATGACAGACTCAATTATATCCATCAACTAATTTGTAGTAACCATGTAGCTAGAGGTGGATGGATCGATGGATGACCAGCTTCCAATAAACAAAGTCAATGGGGAAGCTGGATTCGTTTAATGACCACATGATTCACTTCACACTGAACAACTGTGGCAAAAATGATGGGAAAATTGGACACGACCCATTGAACTATTGCTCTGCTTATGGTAGCAATGGAAATTCCATTCCCCATTGTAGTAAGTCAAGGGACAGCTGTGGTTTGGTCTTTCTGTTTTATTTTTCGCCCCACCTTTTTCACCTTGAGAGTATGAAAGTGCAGACCGGAGATTTACTGTTGAGTTACACCCCCAGGTGAATTCATGGAAACGGGGTGTAAAATATGCTTTGTAATGCTTCTTTTTCTCGTGATTTGATTTTAGGGAGTTGGAACGCTTGAGTAACCTGGTGGGCAAACCATCCGAAAACCATCCCCTCCATAACAGCGGTCTCTTGAGTCTCGACCCCGTCCAAGACAAAACACCCCTTTATAGTCAACTGCTCCAGGCCTATAAATGGTCAAATAAGGTAAATCATCCGTGGCTTTATCCATAAGGTGTTAATGTTAATTGTCACTGACATTCAGCAAACGGAAAGATATTTTGCCATCAGCGTTACTACAGGGAAGAGAAAGGAAAGGTCCTTTGAGAACCACGTGTGCCTGTTCTACTTTTCTTTAATGACCTGTTGGCTGTGTGTATGTACAGTACAGGCGTCCTGACTTACGAACGTTCTCTCGGAGTTCAGAGTTACACCGGGGCTGAAAATGGCGGGGTTATCACCAGTCCTCAGCGTTCTGATCGTCCCAGCTCCTCTGTGTTCATGTCATCGTCATCTGGGCGCTTGGCAATGTGCCCTATGATCTTGTGATCACCGTTTGTGCCCCGTTTCCTGCCGGCTTCCCCAGTGACTGTCATTGGGGAAGCCGTGGGGAATGTTGCAAGTTTCTGGGAATAAGTCTGCCCCACTTGTGGACCCTCCTCCAGACCCTTGATGGATATGCTGTGCAGCTTACTCACGCCCCTCCACGTATACAACCCAACCCAGGCCACAGACTCCTGTACACCCCCCCCAAACTCTCACGCACCCCCTCGCACCCCCCCCACCCCCCGCTGTACCCCAACCTGCAAAGCTACACCCCCTCCCCGATCCATACCCTCCCACCCCCTCCCTGACCCGCCCCACATCTCTCATGCGCCGCTCACACCTTTCCTTTCTGCAGTTGCTGGTTGTGATGAGATTATTTGCTGGGTGGGTGTAGGATGGGATTAATTGGGAATTGCCAGGGGGGTTTTAATCCTCCCTCCCTCCCTTCTCAATCGTGAAAGGGTTGGGACAGCGAAACGGCCAAGCTCAGAGTTACTGCATATAAACAGGGAACGAGCCACCCTCAGTAGCATTGATGACGTTACCTAGATGGGTCATGAAACGTCCCAGCTACCAAGCTCAGCACCAAGGACTGTTGTAAACCGCCTTCTTGTGGACAGGGAACCAAAGTCGAAAGACGGCTTATCTGAAACGGCGAGTCCCTTTGAAACCTAACCTTGGCCGGGAGACTTAACCGTGGTTTCCTTTATTTGAAATCAGCCTGACTTTGGGATCCGGCTGAAGGCTTCAGAACTTCCTCGGCAGAGCATCCCTCCCTCTCCGCCGTTCTCCGAAAACCCTGAGATTTAAACGTTATCCTCCTGGTCGGCTTTTGGCTGGGTTCACAATGCAGTGACATGATGCAGCACTTTTTGAGTTGCGTCGCTTGGCGGTAGCTTCCACAGCTGTTTTAAATAAGAGCATCTGGAATAATTGAGCAGCCTCTTCCACACACACACACACACATTCGTTTGGCTTTGTAGTCCATGATCGCTACCTTGCGAAGTGCTCTCTGTACTTAATTTTTAATTTTCAAATCCTTGGCGGCCGGCTTCTTGTATTTTTGATGAGCTGAGGCAAGGCATTTTCGGCGCCTCCAGACTGTTAACGATTGTATTTTTAAACACACGGCTGAGATCAGATTGTGGGGAGGGGGAGCCTAGAAGGGCCACAGGGAAAGGGGGCGATTCTCTAAAGGTTTAATAATTTGCCCCAGGAGTCCTCAGCTTTTTGATATTTTGCATTGCTCCCCCCAGAGAAGAAAAACCTCAAAGGGACAGACAAGGGATTGCAATCCCCAAGCAAAAATCCTGGTTTCTGTTTGCTGAATTTGTGATAGGCGAGGAATTGGGATTGGCAGGAAAAAAAACATCCTTTTTTCTCCCCCCAATATTTTTTTTTTTTTTGGTTTTTACTATACAAAGAAAGAGCAATCTCTCTATAAACCGTCTGTTGTCTGGTTACGGTTAGTTTGAGCAATAGTCATCATTATCATCATAAGGTTCATTAGTAGCGATCATATAAGAACAATGTTTTCTGCACATAATATTAATACTTAATGGTTAATATTAAATCATATTGATAATAAAACATATAATAAATGCTCATGGTAAAATTAATCCTTCGCTTATAGTTATAAATAACAGAAACTTCTGTTTCTGTTATTTAACCGTAGATAAAACGGATCCCATGTTTCAAAAATATTCCGTATCTTCTTTCTCTTTAATTCCAAGTGTTAATCTATCCATTCCTGTACATTCTGGTTGTTGTTGTTGTTTCACTATCATCTGTGGGGATCTCCACACCTTTCCAATGTTGTAGGGATTTGCAGGGAAAAAAATGTTCATGCAACAACAACGTTGGGGAAGATCTCATTCATAAGAGACCTGGGGGCAGCTCGCTGGCCCTCTGAAATTTACTTCTGCCTTGCAGTGTTCAGTTAGTCCTTGACTAAAGTCAGGGGTCACCAACCTTTTGGACCTCAGGGACCACCAAACTCATAATTTTAAATGCCGCGGACCAGAGACTGGGAAAATCCCCCAAAAAGTCTGCAGGAAAATCCCCCACCCCGTTTTCCTACCAATCGATCATTCTTTATTTGGGATCGCAGGATACCGTCTCCAGCTCCGTTCTCAGGGGGAGAGAGAGAGACTTTTGGCTTCATGCAAGGAAAGCAGCAGAAGCAGCAGAAGTCTTTCTTTCTCTCCCCCAAACTCCGCCAGACGGTCACGATGCTGGAAAAAAAAAGGTGACTTAATAACTGGTCCTTGGACCCCACCACAATTGCAGCATCCTCCCGGTTCAAGTATGTGACTTACAACCAGTCCTCATTCTTAGGGCCACTGCAGAGCATCCTCGTGGGACACGTGAAGGATCCCATGATCCAAACGGAGACGCCTGTCAACTGGTTCATACTTAACGGCCGTTGCTGTCTACCGAAGTCACGCGATCCCCTTTTGCGACCTGCCGATAAGCGAAGTCAACGGGGAAACCAGTTTCAACTTAACAACCCTGTCACTAACTTAACAACCGGAACAAGAAAGGTTGTAAAAAAAAGCCTCACTTCACGACAGATATTTTGGGCTCAGTTGCGGTCGTAAGTGGAGGATCGCCTGAAATGCTGCCTTCCGCTCCCCACCACTTTTAAAAAAAAAAAAAGACTTTAAACCAACTAAAGTTTCTTTCCCCCCCCCCCCCCCCCCCCCGAATTTTAAGATGTAAAAGGACGCGGATTCTTTTTGAATTCAGAAGAGGCTGTTTCTAAATGCCAGCCTCGGAGAAGCAAGGATCTCTCCCAACTTATAATTTAAGCCATAAATTAGCATTGTGGGCAACGCATGGATTTTAAACCTGCCAATGTGCCTGAGATTTATATTTTCCCCGAAGCAACATATCCTATTATTTGGATTTCTCTGAAAGGCTTGGTAGACTCATAATAACAGATTTGGAGACTCTAAAGGTTGGATTTTATTTTATTTTATTTTATTTTTTTAAAAAAATTCTGTGTCAGGTTTCCAAGTAATGAAATCTCCTTTTCTGACTCTCTTCCCGGGGTGAAGTCAGGGCTGATGGAGCTGAGCAGAGGCCCTTCAGGATTGGCATTCTGTTTATGAGGGGCCCTTGATGCTCTGTGAGTTTGCTTGTTTTCTTGCAGGCATTTCATGACCCAGCTAGATAACATCATCAGTGCTAGAAGGGAGTGGGGTTTGTGAAGAGGAGGAGGAGGAAAAGGAGGAGGATTGTGGGGTCTTTGCGGCTCTCTGAGCTTTCTTGCTTTCTTGCAGACGTTTCATTACCAAGCTACATAGCATCATCAGTGCTAGTAAGGAGTGTGGTTTGTTTGTCAGATTGTATTCTGGTGTCTTTCCCTGTCTGGGTGGGTGGAGAGCAATCTTAGAGATTCTTTGGCCATTTCCTGAGTGGGGTATTTCTTACTTGCTTGTTGGTCTGAAGTTAACCTTGGAGTCTTTTTCTTCCTTTTTGGGCTGGTTGATTCTCTCTTTTGCACAATCTGTAGATGATGTTCCTATCTATGTGTCCGTCGATGGCTGCTTTGTCAGAGTGCCAGGCGTCTAGAAATTCCCTGGCATTTTTGGGAACTCGGCCTGCTCTAAGATGCTCCCATTTTCCCAATGGAAACTAGGGTTAAATCTGTCTCTTTATGTTGTGAATCTATATGTAATTCTGTGTATCCCCACGCAAGAATCCCTCTCTCTCTCTCTTTCTCTCCCTCTCTCTCTTCCCCCCTCCCTGGGAGCCTTGCGGTATCTACCCGTTTCCCCCCAAAATAGATCCATCATCCCACCGACTTCAAATTGGTTGTGACTGGCAGACGGAACAAGTTGTCCTCCTCCTCGGCTGCTAAATGAGCAAGAGAATTGACCGAACAGTTTCCCAGTCAGCAAATTTTTCATTTTTTATTTTACAATTCCTGAGTGACTTTGCACAAAAGAAGGAAGGGGGTTTTGTGTCAGCTTTAGTGAGGAGGCCCGGTGGCGAATGGGGCTTACCTGGGGACACCAAACAGTCAGGTTTATCCCTGAAGTCCTTGAGGGTTGTTCCTTCCTTGCAGCCCAAAGCAGAAAAGAGGTTGTCTGGTCTGGTGGAAAGAAGGCCTAAGGGTGACTCTATGACAGCTGTGTGCCTAAGGCTGGAGTAGAATGCTCACTCTCCCTGATATCGGCCCAAAGTCTTTTGCAAGATGGGCCAAAATGTTCAGCAACAGGTCCACCAAATGTTGGAAGTGTAATCAAACTCCAGATACTCATTGTCGTATGTGGTGGACGTGTACGAGAGCAAGAAAATACTGGAGGAAAATACATACACGGTTGGAAAAGATGATTAAGTAACACATAGACTTGAAACCAGAAATATTTTTTGTTGGGCGTAACGCCAGAAGGATATGACAAAGGGGCTGTATATTTAATTTTGCATGTATTGACAGCTGCAAGGATTGTATTTGCACAACATTGAAAAAAAATGAGAACATCCCATCAGATGAGGATGTAATTTGGAAAATACTATGTGCAGAGATTGATAGATTGACATTAAAAATAAAGGATAAAGAAGACACAGAATATTACTTAACATGGAATAGATTTTAAGAGGTAGAAATTAGGTGGAGAAAGATTATTGTTATGTAAGAATTAAATAGAGAGTAA